TTTTTAGTTGTCCAGATCATTTCTTTCTATTTTTTAGTGGAGACGTGGTCTCGCTCTTGCTCAGGCTGGTCTCAAACTCCTGACCTTGAGCGATCCACCCGCCTCGGCCTCCCAGAGTGCTAAGATTACAGGCGTGAGCCACCGCGCCCGGCCTCAAGTAGTTTTCTATAAGAGGGTTTCATGGGCACATGCATGTTCTTTCTTCTATACAGGTTTTGCTAATTTTTAACTCACACTGTGGTGTCGATGTTTTTTATATTTTTGAAGGAATCGTTTTTTTCAACCAGAATCACAGGCCAAACTCCCCATCTGCAAAGCAGACTCCAGCAGGCCTGGTCTCAGACCCCTCTACGGCTCGGCTTCCTTTAGCCACCCCAAGGCCCCCGGAGACACCTTAGGATCCCATAAATTTCCAGTTTGAAAACTCTGTTCCGGCATGACTGTAGACATGAGAAGCCCTAATAATTCACATACTAGTTCCTCAGCTAGCTAGAATCATTCTAGCAGACTTCCAAATATTGTGTTTTCAAAGGATTCATGAATTAGCAGCCACTTACCAAATGAATACACCCAGCTCTTTCCAGCAAGGTTTTGTGGCTGATTATTACAAGGATACATTAATACAAGACTGATAAAATTGAATTAAAAATGGAAAAGCAGAACCAAAGAAAGAATAAAGATGTCCCAAAGAAAGAATAAAGATGAAAGTGGCTTGGGGCCACCAGTGTAGGCTTCCTCAAGGTCGTGGCACCAGGTCAGGCAAAGGTACTGGTTAGGCTCTGACCTCAGGCAGCCCATGTGCTGAGTATTTCCTGCAGCTTTCTAGCCAAGGAAACTGCATAAAAGAAGAGAAAAGTACTCAACCGAATTTTGAAATGTAGGACAAGGACTTTCCATTGTTTTGCAGGCACAGGTGGAGGAAAGGGCGCGGGCTTGGGCATCAGAAAACACCACTGGCTCCCCATGTGAGCCATTTCTCATCCCTGAGCCTCCGTTTCCTCACCTGCAAACACGCCTGTTTCTCAGCATCAGCATTCAGTAGCACATAAGCGACACTGAGGAGGGTTGTTGCTGCTTTTATTCTCATTCTTCACCCTCAGTAGACACCTACAGTTTGCTTTGCTGCCTCTGGGCAGAATTAGATTTGTGAAAGGCAGGGTTACACTGCGTGGGAAGCGCCCCCTCACCCCTATGCCACTCTCCTCCACTCTGTGTGTAAAAGGGTTTCATAGGTCCAGCCTTGGATCTTCCCAGGCCTGGAGACTGAAAAGTGTATGGCATCCTCTCATACATAACCCCAAGTAAAAATAATACAAAAGCACAAAGTAAATGTAAGGAAAGTGAACAAAGTTCTCAATCCCCCCCCAGGATGACTTCTTTAAATGTTTTTCAAAATATCAAATATCAAATTAGTTCCCCCCCAAAAAAGTTTTCTGTTTGCTTGTTTTTTGGTTTGTATCTGTGTGTAAGTGCATGTGTGTTTGCGTTTGTGTGCATGTATATATGTTTGTGTATGTCTTCGTGTGTGTGTGTGTGTGTGTGCATGTTTGTGCACGTATCCAGGCCTGTGTGCGTGTGTGTGTGTGTACACAAGCATCCCTGCACAAATCTGCAGAGAGAGCTGGAGGGCTCCATCGCCTAGGAAGTTGCACACAGCTAATCCAGCACTGGAAATGATACTGCCTGTCCTGTGGGTTGCTGTGAGGAGTAAGTAGGATAATGTGTTACCAAGAACTCAGCACAGAGTCTGGCTTGTAGAAAGGACCAGAGATTGCTATTCCCGTAGGTAACCTCCCTTCCCACGGCTCCCTGCTTCCCCAAGAGAGGCCTCCTTCACACCTGCCTCCTGCAGCCCCTCACTCCTTCCCCAGGGTGAGCTGATGGATTAGGTGGGGGCAGCGGCAGGCGGCTGCTGAGCCCACTCCTCTCGTCTCTCTCCTTTGCTCTGCCCAGCCACAGGGAGCACCTGTCTGATGCCCTCCCTGAAGGAGGAGTCACAGGCAGGCCTGGGCAGGGGCAGAACCGTGGTGGCCCAGCTGGGCCAGGGAGGGGTGGGAGAGCCTGCCTGATTGTGAGTGACACGTCAGCAAGCTCATTTGGTTCTTATACCCAAGCCATGCTCCCAGTATCAAGTTTATCAGTCACATGGGTGATACATCGATTTCCAACTGCCTGACTCATGAGTCCAAGGCTGTTAGCCTTTGTGCAAATTTTAAAAAGCACTCCCTACCACCACCACCACCACCACGGGTGGACACAGCCCAGGGGACACTAGGCTTCACAAGGGGATGGCATCTTTGTGGGAAAAGAAGAGATGCCACTTTGCCCAAGACAGGGCTCCCAGCCTGAGGAGAGGCATGGCTCCTGCTCCCTGGGCTGGGTGTCTTTGTGCAGTAAACACGCCACACAATTATGCACAGTTCTCCTGGAATTCGGGTATGGCTTATGAGACCCTTCCAAACCCCAATAATGCTTATCTTCCTTTACAATAGTATTGATACTAATAAAGAGTGTATCTAGAAAAAGTCGCAGGCCAAAACAGTCCCACGCTGTGACAAATGGAGAGCAGCATAACGAACATCACACCGCCCAGTTAGGTCTTCTCTATGAAGCACGAGTTTCTAAACAGATAAAGCATTTTGGTTCAGTAAATTGTAACTACTAGCATTAGCAAAATGTATCTACGCAGACCCCCACAGTTGTAGGTTCAAAGGGAGGGCTGGAGGTGCCTGGAATGCACTGTGGGCTGCCATCAGCCAAGGGTGCAGAGTAGGTGACTCACCTTCACAGGTCTCCTGTATTCGCACCACGTCGCCGATCTGCAGGGAGAGCTGGGGGGCTCCGCTGCCTTGGAAGTTGTATATGGCTGTGAAATGGAAGAGAAAGTCAGCCAGGTGAGACCCCTGGTCACCTTGAATCCCTGCTCCGTCCCACGCCCATGCAGCCCACATGGGCTAAACGAAACCAGTGCAGAAACCCACTGCCGACCACCGGAGTTAATCCAGCCCCAGCCTGCCTCCTAAATGCCTCAGTGTATTATCCAAACCTGACCTCTCCTCTGCACGGGTCCCATGCTCCAACCTCAGTGAGGCTGTTAATATCCTTTACCGTGGACTGACCTCTTGCTGTGCACCAGGCAGTTAAAATGGCAAATCGTATGTCATGTGTATTTTGCCGCAATTACAGAGAAACAACCACACCCTAAGCACTGGAAGTGAGGCGAGGCGCCGTGCTAGGCAGGAGAGGTGCGCTAGTGAGCAGGGCAGCAGGAGGGCCAGGGCGCTGTGGCCTCCGAAAGCCTGTGCCTGCCTTCGGCCAGGCCCAGGATTGAGCTCCAGCTCAGATGCCCCGGGGATCCGTGGCAAAAGTCATTGTGAGAAAGAAGGAGATTCACATGGCGAAGAGCCCACCATGTAATGGTGCTCCCTAAACAGGAAGCAAAGGACAGAATTAGGCAGAAGGCCCCTCAGCCCAGTGGGAGAAGCTGACAGGCTCAACTGCAATGACTGGCTGGTGGACGGGGCTGAAGGAGCACAGGTGCTGAGAGTACACACCCGGTGGCACGCAGGACCCACACGTGGGGCCATGGGAGGCTTCCTGGAGGAAGGGCGGCTGAGCTGGGCCCATCCCCTCTCACTGCCCTGCCCCACACTGTTGCAAAGATACAGCCGGACCAGGAGGGAGGCCCTGGCTGAGCTCCATCGTGATGGCCCTCAGCCCTGCTGCTGCCCACACAACAGGTGACAGCTACATTTCCAGACTCCGCCAAACCCACTCTAGCAGGTGACAGCCGCAGAATGGCCTCACCTTCCCTGTGGTCTGGTTCCCGTGTTGAAGCAGGCATTGCTATGCCATCTCTAACCCATCCCACAAGGTTGGGTGGGGAGCTAAGATAAGAAAACCCCATTCTAAACAAGTGCTTATTCCTCCCAAAGAGGAACAAAACGAGCCAAGGTTATCTGGAAGGTTGCCAACGCTAACCCTAATAAGAAGAACTAGTGCTTATCAAACACTATATGCCAGACATGGTTCTAAGTTCTCCACAGGTGCTTATTCCTCCCAAAGAGGAACAAAATGAGTCAAGGTTATCTGGAAGGTAGCCAGCACTAACCCTAATAAGAACTAGCGCTGATGAAACACTTTATGTCGGACATGGTTCTAAGTTCTCCACATGCATTTACTCATTTAATCCTCACAATTCCCCTTCCAGGTGGGAAGTATTACTATTTTCAAATTTCAGATGTGGAAATTCAAACACAGACAGGTTAGTTAACTTGTCCAAGGTCACACAGTGCTGGGGCTGGGAGTGCAGGCCCGTGTTCTTGACCACTGTTCTACAGGTACACGTCCCCGCAGTTGTCTCCTCTTAACTCTGAGGATGAGGACAGTGGTCTGAGACACGAGTGACCAGCGTCCAGATGGACACTGCTGAGCACCACCTCCAGGCTCCAGCTCGCCTTTCATCTCCTCCTCCCACCACTTATCTCCTTCCCTCTCTCTTCCCTCCTTCCTCACGCCCACCCCCACCTCCCCAACACATGTCTGCCTAAACCACATCAAAGAGAGCAGAGGGGTTCAGAAGGAACCCCAGCTCCGCCATTTATTGCTGTGTGCTCTTGGGCAAGTGACTTCACCTGTCTGCGTCTCACTTTCTTACACTGGGGATGTTAACAGCGGCTGCCTCACAAGGTTATTAGGGTGTTTAAATGGAATTAAGCACACGGTGTCCTCCCCTCCCCCTCGCAGGCCAGCCCTATATCCCTAACTTCCCTTTGTGGGCTCTCAGAAAGATGGAAAGTCCCAGTCCTGAGAGATAATAAAGCTTGCGAGTTAAGAGCCAGTGTCTCCGGAGTCAGACAGATGTGGCTCTTGAGGCCAGTTCTGTTCTTTACTGGCTCTGGCTTCAAGCCAGGGCTGCAGCGTGCAATTGCCCAGGCTGTGCCCTGCACAAGGCCACCCAGCCGAGACAGCAGTGAAGCCTAGCACCAAACCTGTGATCCACTCGCCAAGGCCTGTGCCCTGTCCCAGTGCTGTGTCCACTGGAGGAGGGGTGTCTTTTTGTAATCCACACAAAGGCACGTGGGGGCAGCCTGCCTGGACAAGAACTTCATCCCCTGGAGTCTCGGTTTCTCCAGCTGTAGAATGTAGGAGATGACAGTCCCTGCCTTATAGGGTTCCTGGGAGGCTCGGCTCAGATTAATGCCTATAAAAGGCATGACTTCATGTGTGGCCACAGTAAGTGCTCAATAAATGGTAGTCACTTTTCTTTTTATTAGCATCACTTCTGAACACTCCTTTGGAGCTTTATGTCACCTTTAAATCTGCTTCCTTGCAGTTTACAACCAATGGCCCTGTTGGTCAACACTGAATACAATTAATCCTTTGCCCAAAAGCAAACCTAGAGAGGGCCCTGACGGGATGCTGAGGCCTCTCTCCTCCTGCATAAACACGGCCTGTTTCTTCACTCCCGCCACACTTGACCTCATTTCAAACCCCATCCCCGCACAGGCTGCTGTCATTTGGACACGCTCCAGTTTGCTGATGTCCTCACATGGCAGACTCTACTCCTCGTCCTCCCTGAGGTCTGCCTGGGGCCTTGGCCATGGAGCTCGACACGGCTATGCAAGAGACAAAAGGAAACCGTCCACAGAATGCACTAGCTGCCGGGGCGGTGGCAGATCAGGCGTGTCATCAGGTGCTTGGAGGTGACTGTGTCTTGTTCCCTGACAGTCTCCTCCAGCCTTTCCTCAGGAATCTCTTCCCTCACCCTCTGCCCTGCAACGTCAGGCAAGAAGGTGCCATCAGTTGGCTTAAGATGTCTCGGACAGATCTTGAAAGTGGGAATTCAATGTGAAAGTCTGTTCAATCCGAGGACTCTGATCGTTACTAAGAAAATGAAAGTAACTGACTTGGCCATTTAATTTATAAACGTATTTCTGCCTTTGCACAGGGGCCTCTTACAGCTCCATTTGGAGCAGAGCAGACCTTACTGACAAAGGAAGTGGCTTTGCATTTGAATACCCAATTCTGTTAGGTTTTCTAGATGACTAACAGGAAACTTCCAACCAGAATGCCACCCTGCTGGGTTTGATTGCTTATCTGTGACCCTCGGTTTGTTTCTGACCAGTGTGAGACAGGCCTAATCATGCCCAACTTCCAAATGAGAGATGGAAATGACAGAAAAGCAAGAGGAAGAAATCATAGCCTGCCTCGCCCCAGCTATTGTCTGCCCACAGAAGATAGACGAGGTGGGGAGCCTGCCCACAGCCCCTCGCGGGCTGTCTGCTATCCCCACAAATACCCGCTCCAGCCTCCTCATCTTACAAGGTCTCCGTGCCCTGTAGAACACTGACACATTCCATGTGGAAGATTTGATCTCCCCTTGAATAGAAAAACTATACCCAGGAACCAAAACAGCAGCTTCTTAACTGACAAGCCCACCTAGACCAAAGTATTAAATATTCATGGCCAAGTATGGAAAGGATGTTCCCAAGTACCAGAGCCGTCTGGAGTCATTGACTCTAACAAGAACTCTTATATTGGAAATCCCAGGTTGGCGAGCCACCGCAATAGCTCTGGACCTCTAACAACCCTGGAAATCTAATCCATTGATTAGTTACCAATTCTACCTAAATATATTGAAGTATTCTGTTCATCAGGAGTCCAAATCGAGAGAAATAAGGTAAAAGTAGACATCGGCATTATAAAACTGTAGCTCAAAAAGCAACTAGGGAATAGTCTCTGTGCTTTGTGCAATTTTAGGAGATAAGTACAATGTTTTCCTTATATTTACAGATGAGGCAACCACGGAAGGGGAGGGTAAACAACATATTCGCCTAATTAGATAGATAGATAGATAAATAGATAGATCCAGAAATCTGAATTCTAGCCATTGCACACACTGCTTCCCAAGAAAATGGTAAACATTTATTGAGCACATATTATATACCAAGCACAGACTCCATTGTTTTTTCATCAGATATTCATGTGAACATCTACTGTGTACTAGGTACTGTTCTGGGTCCTGGGGTTACAGTGACAGATAAGACAAATAAAATCCCTAAGACTTTACTTGTACCAGACCCTTTAATCTTCACAGTAACCCTCCAAGGTATTATTCTCCATGCAACATACAAGAAACTCAAAGAGAGATTAAGGAACTTGCATATTGGCCAGACAGCTGGAAAGTGGTAGAAAGTGGATTCAAACTCAGAGTGGAGTCCAAAGTCCCTGCTTCCCTGACCAGCCCACTGTTGATATCACACTCACTTATACATACACTGGACTTATGTCCTGCCTTTTCCTCCAGCCTCAGTGAGGTTGGAGACTGAGTCTTTCTTGTTGACCACTGAATTTCCAGTGCCTGGACCACAAGAGAAGTGCAATCAATATTTATCGAACTCTTAATAAATACTTGTTGGACTGAAGGAAAACGAATGAACATGAAGGGCAGGTACGCCCCTTCTTTTGGCTATGCTCTTTCTTGCATTTCTTGACATTGCTTTAAGAGATGCTGAGCCAGCACAGCTGCCAAGTGTGAACGCAGCCATCAAGTGCCCTATGACCCTTCCAGATGGATTCGCACCTCATCTGGGCCCTGCCACTTGCTGACACATTTGAAAACAAAAGCTTCGGCCAACACCGAGTGTTAATAGAGTTTGGACAACTGGCTGTATAAGAGGAACAAGGACAATAATGGAGAAAGAGAATGTAATTGCCTGAAGCTCACTTCTCCAGTCCCTGAGCAAGGCTTTAAAGAGTCGCTGGTCCGGGGGGGGACCTTTGGCAGGTCCACTTTGGACTCAAGTGAAACGCGCTCATTGAAATGCACAAGCAGTGTGCCTGAAGTCTCTGAACAGGTGTCGA